AAAAAACGCGCCTTCTATTTATGAAAATATCACAGTTAGGAGATTTATAACGAGTGATTCCCTGCATTATTACAGCAAAGCGCGTGATTACAGTACTAAGCCGCTGCAACGGACCAGCTCTAATGCTATTAAATTACAGATGATGTACCATAGAGCAAAAAAATGAACAGTGAAAGTAACAAAAACTTGTAAAATACATTTTAATGGGCATAATTAAGTGCGAAAATAACAGAAGGATATACAGTCAAACCAAAAATTATTCAGAGACCAGATATAATTTTTGATATTTTTTTTACTAGTGGGTGCAGGACACTATAGTTCATTTATGTAAAGTGAGGATAGCTAAATAAAATAAACTGTGATATATTATACCCAAAAATTATTCATACAGTGGACTACCAGCAAAATTGATACAAATTTGGGACAAAAAATTATTCAGACAGAGTCTGGGAAAAAATTTAAGTTGAGGTTTGCATGAAGCTGGGTGACAGCATGCCCAGGACACTACAGGCTGTCATTAAGGCTAAGGATCACCCGACAAAGTATTCATAGTTGTGTAAATATTGACAGCTGTATGAATAATTTTTGGTTTATTGTAATCCATTACATACCTTTCTATCAAAGTTATCTGACATTATCAAGCTGAATTTGTTCTGACACAGTTTAACTCTGAGTTTCTGTCATATTTTATTACCATTTTCTAAACTATAACGAATAAACTGTGATAATAATAATATTATGAATATTTTGGTATAAATTTCGGTTTGACTATCTATTTGATAAATGAAGTTAACCAACTAACATTATACATACTCTTTTGGTTTCTGTACCCAATATTTAAAAAATTTACAAATGCAATGAAAATATTGGTATCGGTACTCTGTATCGGCAAGTACCAAAAATAAAAGTATCGGTATCGGGCGAGTACTGGAAAAAGTGGTATCGGTGCATCCCTAATTTTTACTGTATTTTTGATCAAATAAATGCAGCCTTGGCAAGCATAAGAGACTTGTAATAATATTATTTTACTGTTTTTACTGCATTTTTCATTAAATAAATGCAGCCTTGGTGAGCATTAAAAAATACTACCAAATCCAAATACATAAATGAGTCAAAGACGAAAAAGGGTTTAAGCATAAAAACAATAAGTGTAATACTGCTTTAAATTGTTGTTGTTTTTCCACAAAAAATTTTAAAGTTTTCTGTTTAATTTAATTGCTATTTTGTTTTTCAGAGCAAAAAATAAATATCATAAATTTTTCCCTGATTTACAGAAGACACCCACTAAAATGTCATTCAGTGTAACATTCTTGTCAGGCATATTTACAACAAAAATCAATTTATGACATATTAAAAGACTAATTACTTTCACCCCAAATACTAAGTAGTTGTAATTTTACATTTTTTTAAATTTTCCACTATCCTAGGTTTTGCCCATTTGTCAGTAAGAATTTTTACTCATTTAAAACACAATAAAATGTAATATGCTCCCTTATTCTTTTATATACAGTGGGTACGGAAAGTATTCAGACCCCCTTAAATTTTTCACTCTTTGTTATATTGCAGCCATTTGCTAAAATCATTTAAGTTAATTTTTTTTCCTCATTAATGTACACACAGCATCCCAATATTGACAGAAAAACACAGAATTGTTGACATTTTTGCAGATTTATTAAAAAAGAACGAGCTAACTCTGCTCTAACTGTCGACTAGCAGTGGGAGTCAGATTGCCCCCTAGTGGATGGCTAAAGATTTGTTAACTCATATTCATAAATTCTCAAGAGAAAGTCTCTGAATTAACTGATGCTCGCACCCCCCTTGACAGGTGCCCCACAGGTTGAAAACCCCTGCTGTAGGTGAAGCTGGATCACGAATGATTCGCGCGAACATAGATGCATTTATGTAGATCGGGGGCACATTCCCTTCAGAAACAAATGTAATCCACTGCGTCTTCAGCGCAATAACGACTGCTATGTTCATTATTACATCCAACAACAGAACACCTCAATCGCTTAGGAGTCATTCTTGTCTACATCTGCTCCGGCGGTGAAACAATGGCGGACTGATGACAGCTCACTCCGGGCGGGTCTAAGGTAAGATGCCAGTCCAGTCTCTACTGTCAATCAAACTATCGTGGGAGGGGCCTGTCTGTGTGACATCTCGATTTGAGAAAGGGGTAAAGAGTTTAGTAGATTAAAAAAAAAAAAAACACTGGGTGGTTTTTTATCATTAAAGGGTGGTTGTGTACACACACTGCCAACAAACATTTCAGTTCAAACTACTTGTAAAAGTGCATGTAGCATCCTATGACCCCTTTAAGATGAAAGCTGAAAAATATTTATTTCAGTTGAGTCCAGACACAAAGGACATCAGCAGGGACCGGATCTAAACCAGTGACATTACCTTAGGATATCAATTATCATGGTCCAACAACACAGCAGCACAAACTTGAACTCACACACACACACACACACATACACACAAGCAAACACGCACAGAGCAATTGCGGTGCCGTATTGATCAACTGCTACATCACTGTTTGGCCAAAGTCCATAAAGTTTGTAGAACCCAAGGGCTATAGCAAACTTACTCAAACATACACACACAGATCTATTATTCAGGATCTTAAAGCTCTCGTTCTAGACAAAAGCCTGACGGAATGTGCATAGGATTCCTTTTGGAATTTCTCTTATCGTTTGGAACCAAACCTAAAAGAATCCTAATGGGAATTAAATAAGATCCCACAGGATAATCTGGAATTTCCACAGTATTTTTATACCCGTTGAATTTTGTGCAATTTTTGATCAGAACTCTACTTATAATACTGGTCAAAAGTGTGGAAATAATTACGATTTTTTTTAAATGTTTTTAAAAGAAGTCTCTTCTCCCAAGGCTATGTTTATTTAATCAAAAATTATAAAAAATAAAATGAAAAAATATAAAAATTTTAAATAACCGAAATTTTCCCTTTTTTTCTATTTGAATATATTTGAAAAAAATATAAATCAACAAAACTGGTTTTCAACACTGATAATAATAAGATCCATTATTAATAATTGACCACCAATAATAATTGAGCAGCAAATCAGCATATTATACTGATTTCTGAAGGATCATATGACACTGAAGACTGGAGGAATGATGCTGAAAATTCAGCTCTGATCACAGCAATAAATTACATGTTAAAGTATATTCAAATGGAAAACTGTTATTTTAAACTGTAATAATGTTTCGCAATATTTCTGTTTTTGCTGTATTTTTGATCAAATAAATGCAGCCTTGGTGAGCATAAGAGGCTTTCTTACCAACCCCAAACTTTTGAATGCCAATGTACTTTTTGAAAATAAACATTATTTCAGTATGTTTTACTTTATAATCTTAATTATTCCAAACTTTTGACCGGTAGTGTTTATGGTACTGGAATAACCTCTAAGGAAATCAATCAGGATCAGTTAGCATGTTTAAATACTGAAAGATTTCCTTTAAATGTCCTACTACTCTGCAAAACCATAACTCAATAGCTACACCAACACTGGAGCTGAGAAAAATGTCTTTAAGGTTATGATTTACTTGATATTAATTTCACATTCTGTTCTCTCTGAATCTGAGCAAAGTTAGTACAAATCCTTCCATCACAGGACAGATCTCAGTCTAAGACACTTGATTTTGTCAACGTGTGTAGTTTCTGCACTTCATGCAAAGTAAATAAACATTTTAGGATTTGCGACATAGTTGCACATGGTTTGAGTCGGAATGACAGTCTAATCTTCATTGATGTAAATTATGTGAGCGACTCAAATCAAAGTCCTATAAACCATCTACAAAAGGAAACATCTGTCCTGACTCTTCTCTCGGTGGAAGATTTTGACGTTTATCTATGATGCCTAAAGGCTGTTTTCTCCAGAACACCATGTGGAGACACATGTGGAATGTTCCTCACATTAAGCCACCAAAACAAAAATACGAAAAACAAAATCAGAGTGTGTCTTCATATTTATGTGACAAGAGACAGAAAGGCTAATTTTGTATGTGATGCTGCATATGAATGACAAATCAACCTGTAAGAGCATTTGCTACACATATCCAGGATATATTGCTAAAAAATCCTATTGTCATAGGGAAAAAATAGCTTTTCTAAGAAAAAAATAATGTAAATTAAAAAGAATACAGATCCTGCACCACTACGTTTTAAGCTTACACTATTCACAATAAGTTTGCATTGTGACAGAAATTTAAATGTTCCTCAGGCTTACAAAACTATTAATGAAAATAATGCAAATTACATGTTTATGTCTTGTAATAAATATTTATTGTGAATAGTGTTTTAAAATATCTAGTTTTCCTTATGTGCTATGCTAGAAATCTATATTTAAAATTATATCTAAACAACATCTTTAAATAATTATATTTTATAAATTGTGAAATACATTTTTAATGAGTAAATGAGCAAATATATATATATACATATATATACATATACATATACATATATATACATATACATATACATATAATATGAAATAAAGCTTTTTTATATTTTATTTTATTTCAGTTAACAAAAATGTTTTTTTAATGGTTTTAATTTTAGTTAACAATAATTTACATTTAATCATTTAGCAGATTCTTTTATCCAAAGTGACTTACAATTGAGGGCAACAGAAGCAAACTAACAAAAGAGTAATAATATATAAGTGCTGTGACAAGTCCCGGTTAGTCTAATATATATATATATATATATATATATATATATGAAAACAAGTAGACAATAGAAAAAGCAAAGAGAACGCTAGTGTTAGAGGGTCAAGCTTTTTTATATATAATAAATAAAAGTAAACAAGTACATGGAATAGAAATAGTTAGCTATAATAACCCTTATCAGGTCAGGCCATGTTTCTATCACTCTATAACTAATTTTGATCTGAAAATAAACCACACGCAACATAGGAAAAACACATTCGCTTAAAATAAGTCATGAAAACACACATCTGCAAGTTCAATACCTCTGTTTGTTCTGTGGCAGAGCTTTGGAGTCCACAGCAAACATCTTTGACACAAAGACGATTACCGGCGCCGTCTCATCAGCCGAACAATCTAGAAATGCTACAGGAGACAAACACACAGAGCAAACAGATTAAAGAAGTCGTCTTATTTAATGCCAGCAACACCAGTGTAATTGTACAATTCGGACTTTGAACATAATACGGATGGTCTTTTCATATGAATACGAAATCAAACAAAATGTCACACCTAAGCGCCATCAGAAATGACTTTACAGCGTGATATGACAAACCCTAAGCCAGAATTGAGGAGCACTTCTCTTTTTTATGCACGAGCTCGAAGAAACCTCAGCCTGAGGCCACACGAAATTAAAAGCATCCAGCTATTACACAAACTCTTGTCGGAAGTGTGTGAAAGCTGGAGAAACAAATGCCCCCCAGCAACTTTTACCACAGACGGCTGCAAATGTAGTTTAATTAACTACAGGTTCCTCAGTGCAGCACTTTAGATTTCACAAAGAACCCGCCAATCAAGAACCCACATTCGGCTCTCTGGGGTTCCCGAGCAGCTATATCGTAGATTAAAAAAGTTATTGATGTTTCGTTAAAGGTTCTTCAGATCAGCATATTGATTTCAGGGGCCTTTAAAGGGGTCATATGATGCGATTTAAATTTTTCCTTTCTCTTTGGAGTGTTACAAGCTCTTGGTGCATAAAGAAGATCTGTTAAGTTGCAAAGACTAAAGTCTCAAAACCAAAGAGATATTCTTTATAAAAGTTAAGAGTCAGCCACTCCTACCTAAAATGGCTCGTTCTAACACGCCCCCACATGTCTACATCACGATGTGGGAAGATTTGCGTAACGCCGCCCAAATGTTCACGCAAAGAAAGAAGGCGTAACTTTTATTCTCGCTGTAGTATTGTTGTTGCCGCCATGTCGTTAAGGCACTGTGTGAATTGTTGTGAAAGCGAAACTACTTAGTTTGGCCTTCCAAAAGAGGACGATAACCGCATCGTCATGCCTAGAGCTGATCCGTGCTGGTCGCTGAGGAAATACTTCAACTTCGCGCTGTGGGTCGCCGGATCGGCTTTCACCGTGGACGAAGCGGAGTCCAGCC